GCGCCCCGCGCTGCTCCAGGCTCCCCTGCGCCGGGGACGCCCGTGCCGCTGGAAGGGAGTTTTCCAGGCGGTTCCCTGGGCTCCCTTGTCGCTGCCCGGCCGCGATCCGCATATCAAGCAAAGGTGCCGGGCCTCGCGCAGCCCCTTGCAAGGGCAGAGTGGCACCGCCGCAGTCGGGAGCCGCTTTCTGCTCCCTTGGGAGCGCCTAAATCCCTGGAGCCCCCCGGGAGCACATGGGGGACGCGGGTCAGCCCGCGGAGCTGCCCGAGCCAAGCACTGCTGCCCCGGCTCCCACTGCGCCCCGGAGCGCTGCGCGGCCCGGCTGGCCCCGCGGGCCTCACCTTTCGGGGCGCCGCTGCCCGCTGCTCTGCACAGCGCCCACGGCTAATGGGAGCATCTGCCGCACTGGCAGAGCCCACCGGTTAATTAGAGCCCTCTAATGAGGGTGCAGCTGCGTGCGAGGCACCGCTGGCGCTCACGGGGCCAGAGCCACGTCTCCCCCGTGCTCAGAGCAAGCGCAACGYGCGGATCCCCGGCCGGGACCCTGAGGCCGGGCGCCCGTCGGCCCTCCCCGGCCTGGCGGAGCGCACTGGCAATGGCACCGCTGGGATGCAGAGCAGCCCCAAGATCAATAATCGCCGCTTCCCTCCACGTGGACTCACACACGCGGCGCTTGTGGCCTCRGCGCTCGCTCACGTGCCTGGGGCAGAGGGGAATGGCCGCGGCGACAGCAGCAGCGTGGAGGCACCGTGGGGGAGAAGTTGGCTGCGCTCGGGATTGCGGGGCCGAAGGAAGGATGGGGCTTCTCCTCGTCCACCCCCAGCAGGGCGGGCAAAGGCGGCTGCCCGAGGCAGCACCGTGGGGCCGGCAGCCCTGGACAGCRTCGTCCTGCACGAGGCAGGAGCCGCAGCAGAGCCCGTGTCACCCGCGGCCCCGGCGCCCTGGGGAGCCCCGTTTGGCGGGTCCGGAACCATCTGCCCTTGCTGGGACCTGCCCCTTGTGGCTGCCTCCTGCCGTCCCCAAGGTCCCGGTCCTCTGCTCCGGGTCCTGTGCTCGTGTCCCCCAAAGGGGACAGAAAAAGGGGCAGATAAAGGGCAAAAGAAGCTGCATTTAGAACAGCACCAAACACGCAGCCACTTCAAACGCAGGCGCCTCCACAAAGAGGGGCATTATCTCTTCTGTCAGGCGGCGAAGCGATAGAGCTATCTCTAAAGGAAGAACAAGCACATTCTCGTTTTCCACCATCCCCAACAATACCACGTAATCTGGCGTGAGATAATCAGAAGCGTTTTATTAAAACAAAAAGCGCGTTAGTGCCCCGACGTTTCTGTCTGGGAGAAGGGAGCGCGGAGCCAGCGCTGCCGCGGGCCCCTCATCTGCGTCTGTGCCGCTGCGGGGTGCGAGGGGCGGCAGCAGCCCTGCCCCTTGGCTGCCCCTCCGCTCCGTGCTCGGTGTTGGGAGATCCCGGGAATCCCTTCTGCAGGGACCTCAAAATGCTCCCAAGTGGATCCATGTGCTGTTGGGGAGTGGGGACCGCCTGTCTCCTGCCTCACGTCATGATCTGCTTTGTGGGCGCTGCCCCCTTGCCTGGCAAAGGGAAGGCAGAGCAAAAGGAGCTGGGCCTCTCGCCAGCAGTGTGAGGAGGAGGTGGGTGAGGGCTAGTGGTGGGGAGGAAGAACAGGGATGGCCGAGGTCACCCCGGCAAGGCGGGGGTTGAGAGCAATCAACGTGCGTCAATAACGTGTCAATAACTGCGGTTATTCCTCTCTCCAAAGGCCCGGGAATATTGCCCAGGAGCCTGTAGCCCTTTGGCGTTGATTGGAAAAGACAGTGCAATTACAGCACCTGCTTCGCAGGATCAGCAGCCATTGGATTTACGGCAGGGGTGGCCCCGAAATCACAGCTTGTGGCTCTGCTGGCCCACGTGGGACATCCACTCCTTGAGGGGCGGGTTGCCCAGAGCCACCAGCTTCCTGAGGAAGGCGCAGGGCCGCAGGCTGGGCACATCCGGATGAGCCTCCGAGTACTTCTGGAGCTTATCCAGGAGGCGAGGCAGCCCCAGCGTGGAGGCGTAGAACATGGGGCCCCCCACGTGCCTTGGCCACCCGTAGCCATTGACATAGATGACATCCAGGTGCTCCGGGGCAGAAGCGATGCCCTCCGCCAGGATTTGAAAGCCCTCGTTGATGAGGGGAAAGAGGCAGCGCTCCAGGATCTCCTCCYGGTCTATGAAGCGGGGCTTGATGTGGTGGGTGTCCCTGTACTCGGCCAGGAGGTTGTTCAGCCACGGGTCGGGCTTAGGYGTCCTGCCCCCGGCCCGCTCATACTGGTACCAGCCGCGGCCGTTCTTCTGGCCGAACCGGCCCTTCTCGCAAAGGATGTCGGGCAGGGGGCTGTAGCGCTGGCCGCCCCGCCGGCGGGCCGGCGTCCCCGGGGGCACCGAGGCTCCGGTGAGACCCTGCTCCGTCCGGGATCTCCAGCCCACATCCAGCCCCGCCAGGTCGGACATTCGGAAAGGTCCTATCTTAAGGCCAAAATCTTCAATAACCTGATCTACGGCTTCCGGGGTGCTCCCTTCCTCCAGGAGGAACACTGCCTGGTGCACGTACGGAAACATCATCCGGTTCCCGACGAAGCCCGGGCAGTTCCCTACCACCACGCCGACTTTCCTCAGCGTTTTGGCGAGCTGCACGGCGGTGGCAATGGTGGTGGGGGATGTCTGGCGCCCATAGATGATCTCTAACAGCCTCATCACGTGAGCRGGCGAGAAGAAGTGCGTGCCAATGACCTGCTCGGGGCAGCTCGTGGCAGCAGCTATTTCATCAATGCTCAGGGCTGACGTGTTGGTGCAGAGGAAGGCGCCCGGCTTGCAGATCGCCGACAGCTTGCGGAAGATTTCCTTCTTCAGAGCCATGTTCTCAAACACAGCCTCGATAACCAGATCCACATCCCGCAACGCCTGGAAGTCCAGTGTGAAGCGGAGCCGCGCGGGGTTGTGGAGGTCCGGGGCGCGGGCGCCCTGCTTCGCTTTCGAAGCGTCGCGCTCYAGAATGGCCATCACCGCCTTCCGGCCCTTGTTCAGGTGCTCCTGGTCCTGCTCCAGAGCCACCACGGGAATGTTGGCCCTCACCAGACAAGTGACGATGCCTTGGCCCATCGTTCCCAGGCCTAGGGGGGAAAGAGAGACAGAATCAGAGGCTGGGGACACAAGTTGTTGCCGTTGATCACTCAGCAAGAGCACTTCTCTGGGCATCTCCAGCATAAAAAGCTGATGTTTATTGAAAATGAGAGGTACAAGGGGAAAAAATATCCAAAAATCAATCCTGCCACACCATCCTGCTCGCCCCCGACCAAGGCTTCTTGGGCAAACCAGTAGGAGAAGATGAGCCCAATTTCATCACCAATTTAAGAGTGCAGAGTATTCCCAAGAGGCTGATGCTGCATCCGAACGTCAGGATTACAAATATCCCAACTAAGGCAACTGCTAGTCAACGTACAGGTTTGTTATAATTCCATAAAAATGATTCTGATTTTTTTTTTTCTTTTTAATCCCAGGTTCGCAAAGGTCAATCAGCTAAATAAATAAACAGAAACGAGGGGATTAAAACATTTGCTGGAAGCAGCTTTATGAAGAAGGGCTGAAATTACATCATCAGTTTAACAAGTTCCAACAGCCAAGGTCAACCAAGGTAGTAGGTTTTTCCTGCAAGCAACACTGGTGCTTCAGCTCTGCCCCGTGCAGCTTGTGGGCACACAGGACACTTACACCGTGCCCTGCTCAGCTGCAAGGACATCGCCTCTGGGGACATCACGAGCCGGCCAGTTGCTCAGAAACAACCGTTTCCCTCTCAAGCAAACACTGAAGTTCCTCTCTAGGAAATTAGATCTGATACTTTGTAGTCAAATACTGCRAAGAATTAATTTGAAAATAAGGCTGAAAAAAAATCACTCCCTCTCCAGGAGCTGCTACAGAAACAGCTGCTGCGCCGGGGACTTTAATAACTCCCGTAGATTTGGTCTCAGAGACCAAATCTCGGGAGTGAAACCTTTGCACATCTCTGTCACTGCAAAGCAGCTGCTTCCTCCTGCAGCGAAACCCCTTCCACGAGCTGAGACTTTCCACCTTCCCATCAAGGAGGAGCTGTGGCTTTAGCCACTTCAACTCTTYACTTTCCCCCATGGGTAGGATGAGTCTCCTCGCTAGGTTTTTTTGCCACTACCATGGCAGACAGGCCTACACACTTGTAATATTTCAATTTTTAAGCCACAGGATGGGCTTATAGATAAGATATGAGCTTGCSAAGCTTGTTTTTGACCTAGAAAAGCTGTCTCTCAACTTACTACATAACTCTTCAGTGGCCTGTATGGAATGATGTTTAATGAAGCTGGCAGAGAGAGTAATGAAAGCCCCAAGGGCTTTATTGCATTAGAGCTTGCACAGCACAACTCCCCCGGAAATATTTTCTAAAATTGGCCTATAAAAAGCCCGGAGTTCTTTAGCAGGGAAAGGAGCTTTTCCGAGGCCCTCCCGCTTTGGTTTTGCAGAGCTAGTGATCACGGGGGGGACGCACTGAAGGGGAAGAAAGGGTAGGGAACCACGGGGAGAGGAGGGAGATGAGCGTCTTATGCCCAGTCTGGACTAAAACCCGGCTAGGAACTACTCCCAGTTACACTGATTCCTATTGTCCGCTCCATTTCCTTCCTCAGCGAGGTCCCGCTAGGGAATTCAGGCCTGTTCTCCCAATCCCCCYGAATCATTCTGGAAAGAACCCCCTATATTCCCGCCTTCCCCTCGGGGGGCTGTTTGCCGAGCTCTGTGAGCAGCTCTCGCGCCCAAGGCGCCGCTTGCAACAGAAGACTGAAATCTGCTGCAGCCCCAAGGAGGGAGCATCCAGCCCGTCCTCCTCCTGGTCTTTTGCTGAAATGGAACTTGGCATATCAAGAAAATTACTCTTGAACCCAATTAATTTCAGGCCAAACACGCATATGACAAAGCCTTTTGCTGGGCAAGCCGAGAGAAYAACGATTGTTAATTATTGATCTGTCGCATGAAGTATTCAGAATATGAAAAAATATGCAAAATTTAAGAATTTAAAAGTACAAGGTTCAAAATCTGTATTGAACAGCTCATCTAAAGTCACATACACTAGAGAAACACCAATCTGCAGAAAATGTTCTGAACTGTGGTGAATATTTGCACTTAAAAAAGCCAGTAATGGAAATAATACTTTAGAGCTTGGTAAAGATATGCAAAGACTATTCCAGCTCCCTGTTAAAAATAACAAGGTAGTAGACGGCTGCAAATTGCAGCTGCTTCTTTCTCTATTTCAGGGGATTAATTTCCCTCAGAATTAATGCAATACTGAAGGCAGGCAGGGCACCGTGGAAAGGCTGCAGCAGCAGCAGAGAGGAACGATCTGGGTGACCAGGAAGCAGGGAAAGGGGGGGGGGGAAAAAAGACAGGCAGAACAAACAGAAACCAATGGACTCGGTGACCGTGTGTGGCTGAAGACAACCGCAGTGTGATGGATGGATGGATGGATGGATGGATGGATGGATGGATGGATGGATGGATGGATGGATGGATATTTTATTGCATTGCTAGAAGCAAGAAAGGAATTGAGAAGCTTAAAAGACATCAGCACCCCTGTGCCCTAATAAGCCTTAATGGCCCTAAACAGCCCCACCTGGGACCCCCACCCACACCCTGCCTGTGAGCTCAAGAGCCCATTTAAGCTCAGTCTGGCTAAGAGGAGGACTGATTGTCAGCTCTGTTCCTGCTCTGCTGGTTGTATGTGCTGTTGATCCCAACACATGGACTGATGTCCCAGCTTGATGTCTCACCTGCCTCTCCACCACGGTGAGTTGATACTATCCTTGTGTCCTGACTTTAGAGAGCAGCTGCCTTTGCTGCTCCCTGATGCTGGATAAGTAACAGGGTGCAGCAAATGTGGCAGCTCTGACCCTTGGATGTTACTGGTGGAGATGCTGACCAGGAGCAAGAAAGAAACACCATCTTGGTGCTGCTTCTTGGTGTAGTTCCTTCCAGCCTACTGCTGCTCTCCCTGGTTTGCAGGGTTTATGAAGTATTGAAAACTTAGCAGAAGTTCACAGAGCTGTGAAAAAGATCATTGCTGCAGATCCTGCTTGACAGTGCAAGTATCAAAGCACTTAGCTGGGTTATTCTGCAAAAGGCTCTAGGTTATTTTCAACTATGTGTGTAACCAGCAACAGGAGGATTGGAAGCTTTGGGGTAGCAATTAGGGCATAACTTCTGATCAGAGCTCAGAAAGCTGCCTGACACCCAACTAGCTCTGCCCAGAAACAAGGCATGAAATGTAGCTCTCCTGGAAGACCTCAGGCAGCCTGGACTTGTCCTTACTACCTGTTCAATCACAGCACCAAAATAAGCAAGCCATTCCAGACCAGCTCTTCTAGTTGTTTTTTTCTTTTATGGGGTTACAATTTAATAAGTGTCTTATTCTAGAAGGATTAATCACTAAATAGCAAAGAATGTCCCTTCTGACCACTGTTTCTTGCCATCCAGTTAGTTCCACAACTTCAATGTCAACAACTGTACTGCAGAGCTGAACTGTGTGTGCTTGCAYGTGTCCAAAATCCTGTGCCATGCAAGTCACAGGGGAAAAAAACATAGCAAGAATTCTTGATTTTTAACCTGAACGCTGTAGCATCCACAGCTTCTTTACAGGGCTGTAGACCAATGTTCAGAGAAACATTTTCATTGAGAATGACATAAGCTAACCTGCAGATGCTAATGAAAAGAGGGCACTTCAAGTGGTTCTGTGGCCTGAAATGAGCTTGTGGGGAAGCTCACACGGCACAGCACAAGACCCAGAGCTGAGAATCAGCTGGGGAAGAGCAGTATCGATTTAGCGAGTTTCCTCTGAAACAGGATGGATGTTTTCTAAGTGCTCCATTACTTGCTTAACCATTTTTGAGTGCTACTATCAACAGGCAAAGCTGAGAGGTTTTTTATTCTTTTTTTTAATCTCAGCAGTGCATCAAAGGATTTTATTTAAATTGCTCTTATAAAAAATTAATGAAGGCATTATCTTGCTGGGCTACAAAATGGCAAGAGTGGATCCCAGYGCGATGAAGTCTTCTTAAAATACAGCTGTCAAAACATTTTCATATTAGCGCATCCCCGAGTGCGTCTCTGCACAAGCGCTGGCAGCGCAGAGCTCGACCAGGCAGAGGAGAACTCCCTGCAAACCTGCTTACGGGGTGCAACCAAGCCAGGGTTCCTGGCAGCCCTATTTAAAAGGGCTCAGGCAGCTGAAGTGGTCCCTGAGGTGAGAGGAARGTAGGTGGGATGGTGATGTAGCAGGATGGGACTTACCTGATGTTATCTCAGATCACCTATAGGTGATGGCCATTGGTGTTGATGKTTTTTTTCCTGTGTCTTTGCCCATATTGGTGACTGGTCAGGAATCCCGGCACCCTAATGGCCTTACCTAGCACGGCTGCCTTGTGGATGGGCCGAGGGGCCGCGCTCTTCCAGGAGGCACCCTTGGGTGTCGTCCACTTCTCCACCGCCCTCTCGGCGAAGAAGGCGTACTGCAGCGCCCTGGCCTGGCCCGACGTGAGCAGCACGCGGAAGAGCTCCCGCTCCCTGCGGAGGCCCTCGGCGAAGGGCAGCTCCGTGGCGGCTCGCACGGCCCGGATGCAGAGCTCGGGCGCCAGGTAGCCGCGCGCCTGCTGCTTCACCCTCGCCAGAGCCGCGTCGAGCACGGCCGCCGCCTCGGCCCGCGCCGGCATCGGCTTCAGGCTGAGCCGCCGTGGCCCCAGCGGCTGGCCTGGGGAGAGAGGAGAGGACAGGACAGTCACTGAGCGCCCAGCATCCACGTTCCCTGGAGCACGATGGATTTTCATGCCTTCCTACAAGAGTGGGAACATTCCTTCTGAAAGCCTCGCTCCTACTTGGTGCCTAATCCCCTTGGCTAGCCAGAAATGCTCCAGTCAAGATCCTGATCCAGCTGTTTGTGAAAGACTGGGAAATGCAGCTTGGCTTCGGTTGGTCCCTGATAGCCGGAGTCCTCTAGTCCCCCTGGGAGCGCCCTCGTGCAGTATGGGTTAGGGAGCAAGCGGATAACAAGGAAGAGTTCAAGCTTTTGTGTCAGCAAGAGGTGGATCAAGCCACCACACAAATACATGAGGCTCATTACAGCCYGGGGTTGCTATGGTGATACCTAAAAAGGATTTTAATTGAGAGAAGTTGGTTCCATCTCAGCCACCCGAATCCTTCCCCTCCCCTTCAGCAGCACAAACCTGGGTGCCCCCTGGGAGATCTTTGATCTGTCTATACACAGACCATCTATATGCTCCTAAGGGCAGCTTGCTTTGGTCAAGGCCACTGAGGAACAAGATGAAGAATTCAAGATATCTCCTTAAAGATTTCTCCTTAAAACATTTTTCAAACGGAACCCTCTGTGGCTGTAGTGTTAATTAACCATCCAGAGTGTTAATTAACCGTGAGTGGCACCAGAATCTCCTACAGTGACTCCTCCTGCCCAGCCAAGTGGTGCCACAATCCTGCTCTAAGGGGGATCTCCCTATCTGCTGCTCCAAGAAGCGCTTGGGAATGTAGCCTCATTGGCCAACTTTGGTTGTCAGCACTGCCTTATGACTGGATTTTATTCCAAGGTGGCACCTTGTACCTAGTTCTCTTTTTTTTTTGTGTGTGTGTGTGTGTTACCTGAGCTAGGAAATGGCCAACATCAGGTGGAAAGCAGCTSAGGAGCAGGAATCTGGTGCCCTGCTGTGTGTGGGATGCTGGAGAGCAGGGAAGTGGAGAGCACCTCAACCAAGTTGCYTTAGGACCCTGTCCTGACTCCGCATCTGCCTCAGAGGCAGGGCAAGGTAACACAAACATGAGTTTCCAGGATGAGGAAAGATACAGATTTCCTGCAGCAATAGCCTTCAGAGTTCAAGTTTCCTACTCAGGCCTCTTGGAGAACATGGCACACATGCAGATGCACTCATTCTGTAGCTAGCTTTCTTTCTCAACTGAGTATATCGAAGTAATAGTTGGACATTGGTGGTGAACATGTTTCCTAAAGCCACTCTTACTGCAGGATTTTAGTTGGGATAATGCCCTTTAGTTCTTTGAGTTCTTCCTTCCCCTGCCAAACGTATGTTTTCTACCTGACAATGCTCTTTCTCCGCTGTCCTTAATTTTGGTCTTGCATAATGGGTTTCTTTTAATCACAAAAGAGAAGTAGAGGTTTGTCCTGCAAAGCAGATCTGAAGGGTAGGCCAGACTGTTGGGGCAGATCAAAAGACTTCATGTGACATTTCTAATGATACAGAAAGGGTCTGAAGAGGGGGATGCTATTGGGAGCCTTTAAGCATAGTCTTACAAGGCTTGCACTTACAAGAGCATTTGTAAGTGCAAATATTGAGGGGGGAGCTACATTTATTTCTCATTCTGTGAGGAACTAATTCTCCTTCCAGTCCTATTATGAAACCTTTATTTGGCTGAAAGCCCTCTGGCTTTGTAAGTATTTCTGTAGCACCTGGAATGATGGCTCCTTTGCTGCTGCAACAGCAATAAGAACCRGGGGTATATTTATAAGCAGGAGGAAAACTAATCTGAACCTGAAGAGATCAGTGCAGGCTCCCTACAGCCTGATTTGTGAAATGAGAGGCAGGCAGACGAACAGCATCAGCTGCTGGTCCTGCAGGGCGAGAGCATCACCCAGCCCCAGGAGCTGGCAGGGGCATCTGCTCCGTCTTTCTTGCGTCTGCTCCTCCAGCATCTTCCACTTAAAGCCAGCACGTGCTGCTGGCAGCAGTATCTGCTACTCCTGTGGGCTTCCCAAATGGAAATGCATCCTTTCTCCACAGTTACTGCTAGTGAACTACAGTCAGAAGCTGATAAACATCTTTCCATACAGAACTTAACACTAACAGGGGCCAAACTAAGCCAGATCATGCTGCTTTTGCTTGGCTCTTTGGCATGGGCCGTTGCTGCTTCCATGCTCTGAAAACAGATTGATTGCCAAAGATCCATCAACAGTGTGATCAGAAAGCAAGGGAGGGTAAGGAAAGGGACGCTTTTGAATCCTCTCCTATGAGGAGCAGCCCTTCCAGCTGCTCTCCAGCCTGCCGGCAGCAATTACAGCAATTTTCCAATTTAGTGATGCCATCGAGTGGACAAATTATGAAATGCAGCTTTGAGTTAGGGCAGAGATTATCAGTGACAGTTAATGGAAGGACATCCTGCTCCTCTCCACAAATTTAGCTCCTGCTTGTTCCTCCCTTCTGAAGAGTGCAGGGTTTGGGGGTTTTCTTTTTGTTCTTCCCAGAAGAGGCAAATTTGGCTGAAGAAGATATGTTCACTGGCTAATCTGCACTCTAAAAATCTTATTTTTCACTGAGGAAAATGCCCTTGGACTCCATGCTTCCCYCTGGGTACTGTCTAGGGGAAGATGCCCTTCATGAGGAATTTGTGTGGATGGGGATGCTTTCCCAACGTAGCTACCACACAGGTAGCTCTGTTAAGGGCACGGTGGCTCAATGGAGGAAGAACAAACTTGTGGAGTAGAATAAACTGGTGGGCTTTGTTCTGACTCTGCTCCGGCCTTGAAACCTCCCTGATGGTTTCTCCCCATGGCTACAATTGGTTCCTCACCGATCACTTTGTTTGCCAAGTGAATTGCAGCCTCAGCTGTGTTTCCTTCTACAACTTCATCAACCAGGCCCAGCTTCAGTGCCTCTGCTGCTGGAATGTGTCTTCCTGTGAGAAAAAGAAATAAAGGGACTTTGGAGGGACATGGAAGGTGGCTTCACTCTTTTCCAGTTGATCAAATGRCTGTGTAAGTGGCTTCAAATGTGCATGATGCCCAGCACAGGCACAGAAGGGCATCACTGACTCTAGACCTCAGAAGTACATGCCCCTTTCCAAGCCCAGAGGAGGGAAGACAAGCTGAAATTTAACTTGAGCAGCTTCTCATATGTTTTTAAAAACAGAAAAAACTCCTGTTTTATTAGACCAAGCTCATGGAAGGGCTCAGTGTCGTCTGAGGTGCAGTTCTTTACCTGTTGTGATCATATCCAGAGCTGCTGGTAGCCCAATCAGTCGGGGTAGTCGCTGAGTGCCTTGAGCACCTGGAAGGAGCCCYAGGGTGACCTCTGGCAAGCCCATCCGTGCCTAAAGTGAAGTCAAATTCAGCAAGAGAGCTGATTAGCTACAAGGTTAATTATGAATTTAGCAGAGAAGAGGAAAGAGAAGGTGGCCTTGTTCACACTCTGTTCCTGTAGGGTGCCTCCAAAGCACTGCTCTATGTAGAAACGCCATCCTTGCTTCCTGTGACACATCTAAAAGGCCATCCAACCTTTTCAGGACCTTGTCTACAAGGGCAGAGGAGGCAACGTCACCGTTGTTCGCTCAGCGCTGGAGGAGCTCTGGAGCCCACAGCATCCTCAGGGCAATGACACCCGTGTGTAACCGTGCAGCACTGTGTGACCTACCTGTTGTCTCCCTACCTTAATTCTTGGAAATTTAGTGCAGAGAAGGCTGGTACCACTTTCCTACTGAACTATCCCTCAAAAGCCCTTAAGTACTTCTTGGTACTCTTGACCTTGGGTAAGGGTTGATGGTAGAGAAGCCAGTGCAGGAAAGGGGCAAAGCTGTATCTTGCATTCTCTTAAAAATCTAGATGTAGTTGCTGCTTGAAAAATATAATTTGCACAAATTTTGTTGAGTTCTTAAGAGATCTGGAGTCACTTTAAGACTGTCATGTCAGGCACCCATCTGAGGTGGCATAGAGGGTGATGTGTGCTACCTCATTACGGTGTTGTGGCAACCGCATGGGCACAGAAAAGGAGGCAACAAAGCCAAGGGGATGCCCCTGTCAGCAATGAGCCTCCTTCTATAAGGACACKGGGCACTACTGAAAGGCAGTTCATCATTCCTGAATCCCAAGGGAGGGAGCTCAAGAAATACTGGATCGTTCTTTGGAAGACTTCTTTAAGAGGTGTCTGTTGGTCAGAGTGTGCCCTGAGCCCAAGGGGAATGCCCCACGGCTCTCCAGGAGCAGGGCCCGGAGCCCTGGCGCCTTCGCCCGGCTCCCCGTGCGCGTTACCTGCGCGTGCGCCACGCGGTAGTGGCAGCCGAGTGCCACTTCCAGGCCCCCGCCCAAGGCAACGCCCTCGACGGCCGCCACCACGGGCTTCTCGCTGTCCTCGATGAGGGAGACGAGGTCGGACAGGCCGGTGGTCTCCGTCCGCTCGGGAGAGGAGAAYGTGCGGATGTCAGCTCCTGAGGAAGCACAAAGAAACATGGAAGTGAGGGACGCCCGGCGGGAGCATCCCTCTGCTCTTAAACATTGGTGCTCACAGGTCGTGGAGCCCCTAAAGAGAGGAATTAATGGGAATCAGCCTTTCTTGGGAGCTGCTGTGGGAAACCCTGGCTCCTTGAGCCTTTTCAGAGTCCAGGGGAGGGATAAGTATGAAAATGTTGCACCTCTAAAGATCACGCGATTTCTGCAGCGATTCTCAGAGAGATGCCTGCTCAAATAAGCCAAACAAACAAAACCCRAGGACACTGAGTCTGGAAAAACTAAGCCCAAGTTACCAGGAGCAAGCAACACCAATGAGCTCTACAGAAGCCCATCACGGGTATCAAAAGGCAGAGAATATCTGTGTTTGCAGAAAAAATAGCTTACCTGCACTGAATTTCCCATTTTCACCACAGATCATAATAGCCTTGACTGAAGGATCGGCAGCTGCTTTCTTGAGTCCATCCTCCAAGGCCCGGATAACTGTGAAACTGAAGTGAATTCAGGATTCAGTGAAAGCTGAAATGAATTTGGGATTCAGTGAAAGCTGAAGTGAATTTGGGATTCAGTGACTAAGGATCAACTGTGCTGGCCTCCTGGGAGGCCTGTGCTGTGAGCACCAACACCGGGCGCCCCGGGAAGACGAGCGGAAACCCAAGGATGTCCCTTCTAGGCCATCTTCTACCCCAGCCTGGCCGGGGCCTCTCTGCTCATCAGGCTCCTACTTGCTTCAGTGGGAAGTGCCTAAACCCACTGAGCTCCTCGTGACTGATCTGTCATTGGGCTGCTGGAGAGATTCCTTGTGGCCCTGCGGTTTCCAGGGCAAACAGCGCAGGGTGACGCTCCTTGAAAAGGTGTCTATGAATTAAACATCCTCATCCCGAGGAAAACAGCTTAGCATAATTTGGAAGTCATTAATGCTAAACCTCTGACAATCTAAGGACGTTTTTAAGGGGAAATGAGCTCCAGGGATGAAGAATCATCGTGCAAACACCTGACACGGGGGCAATGTGTTGATAATGATTGCAGAGGTCTGTGCATGATCCACGTGGGAGTTGTGGACTGTGTGAATTTGGGCCTAGGAGACTAAATTGAATTTCTTCTCCACGTCTCATCAGAACATTTTTCCAGATGTAGGAACTAAATGTGTCTGGCAAAGAATTAATGACTTAAAAATTAAGCAGTAAAGACAAAAACAGTATTTTTTTTAACAAAACAGGCTTTCAAAAATCTGGCCTAACTCTAGGCCCATCTGCCCTGCCTTTCCTGCAATAGCAGCAGGGCAGCCAAAGAAAATAGCACAAATTTTCACCATAAAAATTGAGAGGAAGAAAAAAAAAAAAAAGGTAAATTTCAGTTATCTGTAGCAAATGTCTGGTCAGGATGACACACAGGTCCCAAAGAAGTGAGGGAGAGGAAGCAGCTAATAAAGATGAGAGAAAGGTCTCTGAAAATGGGAAGTGAGCATAGAAAAGGGAATCAGATTAGGTGGCTTTATCACAGTTTACAAAATAAATCTGATTTAATCATTTAAGGCTGGAGTTGATAAAGGAGGACCAAATAAACACAGCTTTTGCTCCTGCGTAGTTCAGCAGGATTTCGGGAGCAAAGGAGCTATGAGTCAAATCCCGGGTCTGCCTGAGCGCAGATTCCTGTCCAGAGGGGGYTGACAATGCAGAACTCAACATATGTTCACACATATGTACGGTATATATGCATATATATGTGTGCCTTGGGCACACACTGAGCCCTGAGGAGCAGGCGAGAAGCAACTCAGACGTTTCTGTGGGTGCTCGGGGAGCAGGCACGAAATTCCCAAGGAAAACATTTGTCTGCAGCAGAGGGAAAAGTTCAGGATCTTATGCAGGAAATTATTTAGCRGTCCGTAGTGTGGACACCAATATATTCCTTCTGCTGGAAGAAAAGACAGGTATTCAGTCATTTTTTTGTGGGACAGAAGGGGAGCAAGGCCAGATTTTTTTGCATCTYCCTTTTTTCAGGAGATCAAGGAAGACGTTTTGCTCAGGATATACATTACAGTCCAACACAGAGGCTGCGTTGCTTGCGTTGCTTTGTAGCTCGTCCTACAGCTGGTCCTAAAGGACACAATTTCAATGAAAGCACCGTAGTAAAACGTGATAGTATAATTATCCAAATACTCAGGAGTATCACAACTTTAAATAGCCAGACTGTAAAAGAAACAAAAGAGTCACCGCCGTTTGCACAAGGATTTCATTGCCTTGGCGGTATCATTCATTTAACTGTAACAACACAAAAATTCAGTGTAAGAGTTTCAGTCGGCACTTAATCCCTTGCTATACAGCCAGCTCTACCACATGGATATCATTCTGGCTGCAAGAAAAGTGATTCTGCCGGTGTGATTCAATGCCAAGTCTTTCAGAAACACCTGCTAGGTGCTGTTAAAACGCACGTGCACCCCGGGATACAGGAATATTCTTGCACGTGGCCATGCCAGGTTACTTCCATGTCGCGTAAAGCTCCACTCGCTGCTGCGGTGCCATGCTGGATTTGCTGGAAGGTTCTATTATTTACTACGGCGATTTTGGATTTAAGCGAGGATTTGTGAATGTGAAGGTTGTTTGCTTTCTAAAAGAGCTGTTTCTAGCAGAAAATGCCCTTTATGGAGAGTATGCAAGCCTGCTCCTTCCTCCCCGTGCTCGCCCAGGATCCGCAATCCCTGTGTCAGGGATGTTACTGGCTACCTCATACCCAGCCTTTTCAGCGCCTGTTTATGGACCTGCTGTCCCTGAGTTTGTCTAATCCCTTTCTGATCCCGCTGATCCCATCTGCCTCTGCAGACTCCTGCGGCATCAGGCTCTGCACTGCCCTGCACAGAAATCCGGGATCTCTTTTAAACCAGTCTCCTACCACTTTCATCAGAGGTCCCCAGTTGCTCCATTCCTGAAGTTATTCTGCTTGGGATCCTTTCTAGACAGTCTCTAACTCTATGTCCTTCTTCAGGTGCAAAGTCCAGAAATGCACCCAGAACTCAAGGTGTTTTACTGAGCAGAAAAATGACGCTCTCCTTGTGAACTTACCTTCAAACGATCCCACTAATTCCCTAGCCAGCTTCTGGTTTTTGATATAAAGAACTTTTCTTTATAGGGACACGCTCAGTTTTCAATACCTCCAGCCGCATCACTGCAAATCAGGAGCTTTTGTGCTCCTGCCTAAACCCTGCTCTACAACCTCCTCAATTTGCCCTGCCAGTCTCTCTCTTGGAAGGCTTGCTGGCCTTTTGCAGCCTCCTCCTGGCGCCAAAGGCTTCCCAATTGCTTGCCTGTCTAATCCTGTCCCTCTGCTGCAAGGCCTCACAGATGCTTTAGGACTGCAGGTCTCTGAAAATGAAGTCTGCAAATCAGGAGAAAAAATAACAACAAGTTTGGCACAGGCTACGGAGGGGAGTCCCTGGGATGGGCAGAGCTGAAGAGGACAAATGGAGAAGAGCAGAAAAGTGGGGGTGATTTGCTGCAGGGCTCACAGGTGGGGCCTTGCAAACTGAGTTTTCCTTCTGGAGCTACTTACTGCAAGACAGAAACATCTGCACCGCGCTCCAGCCAGTGCTGGAGCCTGGAGTTGGAGACTGCCTCTCTCCAACCGAGGCGCTGTTGGATGGGGCTGCTTGATAGGAGACAACCAGGACAAGCCAGGTCCCTCGGTCCCATCACCTGAGGTGCAGCCAAAGGCCAGAGCCAGGTCTTGGGCTTAGGTCTCACACCTAAATCCACGCAGCTTCTAGGCTGAACCACATGTTCCTACTCTATCAGGGGACAGAGGAGCATGGGCAACACAAAGGAGCTGTGGGGACCGTGACAACACAGCAATCGGTGGCAACTGCCTTTTTAATGGACCTGAGGTGGCTTCTCCTTCCTGTGCTGGGGGAAAAAGCTGGACCGGGACCATATCAACCTCGGCTTCCAGCACCACGGAGCTTCACGGCACGAAGGAGAGAGGATGCAGAGCTTAGCCCTTGACAACAGAGGTAGGTGGTGCAGTAGAGAGCTGTTGCACACAGGGATGTGCCAATGGTGCCCAAAGGTGCTCAGGAGAGCACTCGGGCACCGCTGTTTACTTCTCTATCTTGTACTTTGCACTGTAAGGATGGCAAGTTCACTGAGTGAACAGCTTGGACGCTTTCCTAGTCTGGCCAGGGCAGTTTTCGTGGCTCTCAGCAAGAAGCTGCTCCAAGGGACATCTTGCACCTGGCGCTCTGGGGAGGCTCACGAGTCTGGCTCAGCCAACCTCACCAAGCTGCTCCAGCTCTGTTTGCTCACGACGGTTATCGGGGCCATGAAAATCATCCTACGCCTCTTTCAAATGTGTTGCACAAGAAGCGCTGGCAGCTCCTACAAAACTGTAGCTTGCTACAACCTGTGGCAGCAGCTGCTACCTCCTCCTTGTGCTCTTACTTGTCCCCCTCAGCTTCCCTTAAACAAGCTTGCTGGCCTAGAAGTCGAGCCTAACCTCGGTGGATGTTTTTGCCTCCTGCAAGAGCATTGAAGATACGGTCACTCTTCCAGCATGGCTCAGCTGCAGCTGCTTACAAAGGGTCCCTGTGCTAAATTAGCTGAAAAACACACAAGCCTTAGACCACACTATTTACAGAGGAACACGCATGTCTTTCTCAAGCACTCAAGTGGCTCCAATTTCGCAGGTACTACAAGGCTTGTGCTGGAGCTTGCTCGAGGAGCTCCTTGAGCGAGCGCAGCACGGGGAGGCCACTGCCTGCAGGCACCTCTCACCTGGTACCCTCTGCCCCCCTTGAACCAGCGCCCCGTTGGCCGGGGGCTCCCGTGCTGCGCCAGCTCCTCGTGCTCAGCCACATCCCGTGTTTGCCGAGACCTTGGCCTTAACCCTTGTGCACACTTGGACGTGCAGGCGCCGACCTACCTGCACGTGCAGGGCGAGCCCTGCCAAGCAGGCGCAGCAGGGAATCGAGAGAACAACAGTGAGCGCTGAAGCCCCAGCCCCTTTCACCCGGGGGCTCTAGTGCCCCTCCAGCAAGAAACAGCTCAACTCCTAAGGTATAGAGGCAGTTATATATAGTTACAGTTAYAGTTATAATTACAGTTATAGTTATAATTACAGTTATAGTTACCATTATAGATATAGAGTTTTAGTTACATTTATAGTTATACATAAGGTACAGGTGTGTRTATATATATATATAAGGAGCATGATTCCTTGCTGGAAGCTTAAAGACGTAGGTGATGACAAACGGGCTGAGTTTTCAAAAGGATTCCAGGAGAAAGGAGCGAGTGGGAAGCCTGACGCCTCTCCTGCACAAGGGGATAGAAAAGAGGCCTCGGAAGGACAGTGCATGTTCTCTGCGAGCTGACACTGAAGCCAGAAAGCAGCAGGGGGGTTTCAGAGGGAGCCTGTGGTGCTGGCGGAGCGGGGGAAAGGAGGGATTGAGGCAGGGAGGCTGTGTTACCTCAGCGCGTTGACGGGCGGGTTGCGCAGGCGGATGACGGCCACGGCGGCGGCGCCGCGCACGTACTGTGCCATGGCGAGCGGCTCCGAGCGCTCTGCCGGCGCCCGCCCGCCACCCGCCAGGGCACCCCRGCCTGGCCCGGCCCCGCCATGGGCGGCACCGCTGCCGCCTGCGCACACGCCAGCTCCCTGGGGACACAGGGCCGCCCACAGCGAGGTGGAGGGGACGCACAGAGTCCGCTCTCCTCTGGTCTAGGCTCTCCCTGCTCCTCCTTTTGCTGCCYGGGCACCTCCAGGAACCCGCAGGAGCCCCATGGTGCCGGGCAGGGGCTGTGGGGTGACCCGGCCCAGCCACGGGGGCTGTCACTGCCCCTTTCACCCACCAAGGGACTTTCACCCCGGCTCCAACACAACCCAGGGCAGGTCCCAGCTCCCCAGCGCACATTTCCACTCAATACACATAAGATTCCCTATCCTTTGGCCTGAAATGTAACGGAAGGGAAAGAAGGGCTTCTTCCGAGTATGTGTGTGCATATACATACATATACACATATATATATAGCTACAGCCTTCACTCACAGCAGCTACCGCCTTCCTTGCCCCATTGCCGTCTTGGTGGCCCACCAGAACTCCTCTGTAATTTGTTAAACCACATAAATTTGAAAATCTGGCTCTGTTTTTTGTAGGAGGGATAATACTTGGCCATTGCATGTAGAGCGGCGTATCTGGGGAGGGTACAGCATGACACGTTGGGGCTGTGACTGATCGGCTGTTTTTTCATTAACCAGGAGAAAAGCAAAGATCACTTTGGGGATTTGTATTCTGTTTATAATTTACAGCTCTACTTTAGCTGTCTTTTATTAACCTCTCTGCTGGAGATAGGGTGAAGCAGGAGCCCCTTCTGAGCACGAATCCACATGAAAGAATTATTTGCCATGAAAAAAATAAAAGAGCTGATTTTACAGATTGAGGACAAGGTTTCAGTCCTGCCTGTCTGTCTCTAGGACAGTGGATACCATTAGGGAAATAAACGATGATTATGGAAGAATTATGATTATGGAAGAAGCTTAACTGGGTGAAAGGCTGCGTAACCAGCAGCTTGTTTCCAGGWCGCAGAGAGATAGTTCGTGCATGTTCCTCTGCACATTGTCAAATTCTGTCATCCGCTGCTGCTTGGGACGGTTCATTTACCCACATCCTTTGGAAGGGGCACCTGGTGCCTTTGGATTAGGTAGTGGAGGGAAATGCTTGGAAAGTACATTGGGTGTCCCCTCCAATCCTGCAGAAACGAAGATGCTCAAGAGGAGAGCATCAAATCCATACTCCAAGGCTAGGAATGGCAGGGAGGGCCGTTCGCCAAAGGCTGTGGGTAAATGATCCGTCCCAGCAGCAGCGACATGGGGCTGCGAGTCCCTTTSCCCAGGCGAGCTCCTGTAACACATTTGCTAGCCCAGGACAACAGCACCAGGTCCTGTGCAGGATGTTCCCCCTTGCCAGTGCCTGGGTCCCCAGGGCCCTTCCTGCCCAAGGAGAAGGTGACATGGGGACAGTGAGGTGGTGCTTGGGCAGTTGTAGCATGCAACGTTACAACTCCCACTGGGAAAGGACTGAGAACGCGGGGCACGTTTCCCATTTCTTCATTAAGTTTAGGCAAGTATGGGCTGCCTCACAGGCAGGATGGCCCCTTTTTGTGTTTATGTTGCTCTTCCTCGGTGACACCGCGTTACGTCGCAAGCASCCCTACGAGTGCCCTAAATGCTCATGAGGAAGGAGGCCAGGGCTCGTCGGGGGGCCTTTAAATGGCGCCCCGTTCCGCCCGCCCACAACCGCCATAACGGCTGCAACCGCCATAACCGCCACGCCCCCCGCCCAGCGCCAGCCGCGCACGCGCGCCGAGCACCGCCCCCCGCGCGCCGAGCACCGCCCCCCGCGCGCCGAGCACCGCCCCCCGCGCGCCAAGCACCGCCCCCTCGCGCCAGCACCGCCCCCGCGCACGGCGGACGTGACGTAGCGGGCGGGGCGGCGGGCGGCGCGGACGGTGCGCGGATGCGGCGCCCAGGTAACGGCGGGACCGGGACCGGGGCTGGGGCTGGGGGCGGCGGGGCCGAGGTCGGAGCCGGGCCCGGGCCCCAGGTCGGAGCCGGGTCTCGGCGGCTGCGCCACACGGGGCGGCCGTGGCGCAGTCCGGTCCGCGCTGGCGCGGCCGTTGCGCCGGGGAGGCGCCCGTTACAAGGCAGCGGTAACGGCGGGGAGAGGCAGCGCGGCCGGCTCGGGCGAGCCCAGCCAGGCCGCCCGCGGCGGCGCGCCCCGAGGCCGCGCTTCCCGGCGCGGTTCTCCCCCTTGGAGACCGTTTTTTTTTTTTCCCAGTCCCTTCCTTCTCCCGACGGGCGCCTTTAGGCAGCGGTAACCGGGACAGGCCCCTCTCTGCCCCCCATTGTGTCTCATGGCGAGTTTTTTACCGACTTAGACGGTTAAATCAGCTTATGGGGGGGCAGAGGATCCCCAGGAGCGGCAGCCGGTCAGTGGCGAAACGCTCGGGCCGCAGGTTTGTTAATTCGCTCCATCCCGGTCTGAAGTGTCCCCTAGAAGTGTTGCTAGAGCCCGTCTCTCCGGGGGTTTAAACCCAGCTTAAGCGGCTCTGTCCTCTCCCCTCTGCGCCCTTTCTGCAAAAGAAATCTTTCTGTTAGGTCTCCTGCAAGTTTTCGTTTGGGTGATGACTGTGCTGGAAAATAYGGATGTTACAAAGCGCAGAATTTAGGGTTTTCACAATCCTACTTTCCTTAAGTTTGCCACCCTCGTGTGTTGCTAGTGACTGCTTTGGAGTCCTTAGAGCAGATGCTTGGCTTTACAGAACAATAGCAGTAAACATGGGAGTATCAAGGGGAAAAAAATCACATTTAAGAACAGGGAATGGGTGGATAAAGGGTGCAGCCAGGTGTAGTCTACAGGAAACTGCCTTTGGAATAAAGTGCAGTGGGCTAATTGGGATATTCCAAATGCTTTCCCTCGGAAAACACGGAATTGCCAGAGCTTGGTGTGACTTGGAGTTTTAAGTGACTTTTGTCCCGTGGCTTCTGCCCGTCTCTGAACCTGTTCTGCAAGGTGCAGGTCGCCTTGCTTAAATCCCCTTTTATGGAAGCCTTTTCTTTCGGGCCCTTTATTTAGTTTACTGAAACTTAATCTCAACCACTCTCCTCGTGGAATTTATCTATACGGCTTCTCATAAAGCAGGTATCCTTGGTTAGAAAGGTAAGATCTGTTCAATTACTGTGGGATTCTCCGTGCAGGTCTCGATAKTGCAGTGCCTAAGTTAAATATTGACTCGCTGCCGAGGACTTTGGTTTCATGTCATCCCGCCGAGCGTCACCTGCCGCCCTGGCAGGGGGAATRTTGTGGCAAAGGTGCTTGGAACTGCTCGGACGGGGCGCTGGAGCAGCTCGCCCCTCTCTCCTGCTTCTGCAGGAGATTAAAAAATGGATTAAAATGCCATTTCGTGGGAAGTGGGAGTTGGAATGTGGAGCATTAGGGCTGTTGTGCACGGCCCGTTGTTCGGCAAACTCGTGCCCTGTGGCAGTGGGGCTGTTGTCAGCAGCGGGACGTGGGTGGGTGGTTATAATTGCACCTGGAGGGGGTGGCTAAGTTTATCCCCCTTCCTGTCACTTTAGGCACCGGGAAGTGCCTAAGTAATGAGYCTTTGGGGTCTCCCCATTGGTGCCGGGTCTGGGGGAAGCCTGAGGGTCGTTTCTAATCTTGTTGTGCTAATTTATACTTAAGTTACCCTGAGCTGCAATAAATTTTGGGTGCAGATGGGCCAGTTTATTGATTAAGTCCTGCTTCTGGGAGCATTCTTCCCGTTGCAGGTTTGGGGCTTTACACACGCACTATAATTTGAAGAAAAACAAACAAAAAACCCCTTTCATTCTTGCAGTTACTGCTTTCAAATACAGCAGGTYTCTGCCTGCGCCATGACCTTCTCCTTGCTGCTTTGGGCTTACTTACAGAACCTAAAACCTGACTGATAAAATTCCAGGAGAAGAAAAGGATTCTTGTGGAACTGACAAGATTAGGTGCATTTCCTTGTAATACAGAGGGTTTCCCTCTTCAGTGCTTTGCAATGGGGAGCTCAACATACAACTCCGAGAGGAGTATATTAAATAAAACTCRTTTTTCTCTAGTTAAGAGGCTTTCTGCACAGGAGGTGGCCTCGACAGCTCTGACTTGACCGTGGGAAATAGGATTTTTCAAATAGGTTGAGAAATTGTTAGCGAAAACATTGCCAGTTCTGGATGGTGCTTTTGGTGAAGCTATTTCAATATGTTTTAATGGGAAAAAATATATGTTGCCTTATTTGTATGCAAGTAAAAGGGGAAATAAGGGAAAAAGAGGAATAAGGGAAATAAACTGTGTGTTGAGTGAGTTAGTTCACTGTCACCGTGTGGTTCTAGGGAGATCTTCCCCTGTATTTATTGGAAGCTGATCAGTTGTGTCCTGCATCAACTTCMTTAGCTGTGACCTGAGGTTTGTGTTTGATGGGAAGCATTTTCTTTTTCAATGTAAGATTTGTTTGATAAATCCTGCTATTTTATTTGTGAGGAGCCCATGGAACAAGTGTAAGAGTTTTTTTCAGTCCTCCTCTCAGCTTCTTCAGCTGCAGGAATTTGAAGGCAGCGTGTGTGTTTATGTGAGAATCCGGGTTCCAAGCACGTGTGATGGTTTAGGGTGTCTGAGATGGAGATCTCGGCTGAGCTCCAGATGGAGGTCAGGGGATTACGGAGAGCTAATTAGCAACGTGATTTGTGTAAGTCTCAGTCTAATTAAATGGTTACATCACAGTGATGTGTATATATCAATTTAGTAATGATTCATCAGGTAGCTCGATGCAAAGAGTCCCTGGCTAACTTGGTGAAGTGGGTTTTTGGGCTCAGGTGGGGGTGCAGCCCAGGGCACCCACGTTGAGAAGGGGTTCGACATGAGCCCAGTGACCTCTCTGAAGCCTGAAGGTCCCTCTCAGACGCACGTGTGTGAGCAGGGACGAARCCCTGTCCTTCTCTCTTCACATGGAGGCTCCTTTGAGTCGCTGCTGAGGTGGCTTCCAAGGGCTCCCATCACCCGCTCTCCTCCTCGTGCCCCGCTGAGCCCTGCAATGTGAGATGTTGCTCAGTGGCTTCAAGACCTCCCTTGGGGATATGAGAGTCACACAGGGAAGACTCCTGTCCTTTTATGCCTCTCCCGGGACAAAAAGGGAGCCCTGCAGGGCTCTCGTGTTTGTGTCACCAGGAAAACCACAACCGACGGAGGGTGTGAAGCAGCCTGAAGGCTCCACTTGTGCTGCCGCATCAGGACCCAGCCTGGGTGAGCGGCWGCAGCCCGTAGATGCTCCGTGATCTGCAGCAGGGGTTGACAGGCATCTCTTGGGAATTGCTCTGTTGTGCAGCTCCCTGAGAGCCCTTCCACTTTCCTGGCTCGTGCAGCACTTGCCGCTCACCCTCTCATTCTGCTACTCTCCGAAATTGCAGCAACAAGTAGCAACAAACTGGAGAGCAAAAGTCTGGACRCTGCATCCCGAGCAGCCGCTCGTGAAAGCAAAAATGGATAGTGTATTTTGGACTGTAATTATTGGGAAGTAGCTGCTTTTCCTAGACGTCCTGGCTGCTGGGAGCATGGAGGGTGTGACCTGAGTAAACCAAAATAGATGGAGGGTTTTGTTGCCTCGGGTGCTTTTATGACTCTTTGGTGGACACTTCTGAAAGGGCACGCTCCAGTGTGGTACGAGGAGATGTGGTTCGTGTCGGATCATGCTGGTGTGGGCAAGCCGTGAGCTGTTGGATTTGTGTAGACCCCTAGAGTTAAGTCCGAAAGGAGGGAGAGTCTCCTCAAAAGCTGGATATTTAAATAAATAAATAGACTCAGTAATATATCTGTATATTTGGTCTGGTTCTTGCTAGTACTGTAGTTATTTTGGCTGCGAAAGGTGCCTGTTAGGGCATTTCTTGGYACTTGTTTCTATGGTGTTTACTCACTGACAATCCAAATACTCTGTTTGGCCTTTTCAGTCCTATTTTTCAAACCTATAGCCRACTTCTTCCAACCCCAATGTACCCTGGCTGGGCTGTACAGCTGGACTGGGAAGGGGGGATGTCTCCAGCAGGGCTGAGGAAGCTCATCTTTCACCCTAACAAAATTAAGTGGGGTTRCTATGTTTGAGATGAGCCTAAGTGTAGCAAGTATGTCAATAAGTGAAATGCAGGAGGTGCTTTGAAAAGACCCCTTTGATAAYATGATGTAATTCTTAGCTTTGTCACTGGCTGGCCTCTAAGTTGCTGCTCCTCTCGCCCAACCTTTAGGTTAAATTCTCAATACATTACTGTGATGAACTTAATAAATATATGAGCTGTGAGGGTCAAAGGGGGAAAGCAGGAAACTTCTGATTCTTCARGCAACATCATTATGCTGGACTGTGGCCATTGGATGGTTGTTTTTGGGTAACTCTTCAGTGCACCATTTAAAAAGGAGGAAAATGTGATGTTTATTTAACATAGCATCTTTATTCGAGCTATATTTTAAGTTGAAGTTCTTTTTAGATGTCCAGGATACCTGTTTAYAAGAAGAACAAGAGGTCTGACTCCAAGCACTGATGGACCGTTACATCTTCCCAAAATGAGCCAAGCGACGCTTTCCTTCTGGAAGCTGCAGTGTCCTGAAGGTGAGTACATCTGGTTGGCCTCTGACTAAGGAGCTTTTCCRTGTCTTGGGCCCGGACCATAAATCTGCCCAAAGATCAGTCTGCCCTCGTTTCGGCTTAGTGTCCATCTGCCTTTCTGGGGTGGCCCAGCCCYGCCAATCTGGGCGTTTTGTCACTGGAGGAAGTGTCTGGAAAGTGGGTATTTTTTACACCATATCACTTAATTATATTTAATTTGGAGGTGCTTGAGAAAGCTTGAGAACCTAGGCTAAGAGATGATTTATTTGGATTTTTAAAAACTATATCAGGAAGGTTTTTTTAAGATGCACTCTCTTTAGTTTGGTGAATATATTTAATTGAGCCAGCCCTTTTTGAGCTCTGTTCGAGCAGCATCTCGAGTGGTGTTATCACTGCTCAGAGAGGCTGAGGAAGAGGGCCTGCTGTCAAAGAGGATGAAGTACAGAACATGCTTGAGTGAAACTTAATCAAAATAATGCTTGGTAGAGTTTTTGTTATCTTTTATGTTATCTTTAGTGCTCAGGCCCTTAGGGCTGTAGGTGGTGACCATACACTATTCTTCTATAAAATTCGTTAATAGCAGAAATCAAAATGGGGCATGTTACCTAATTTTTGCTTCCAATATGGAAATAAAAGTAAAGGAGTTTTGACACAAACAGCGAAGATGCGAAATATCCTATTTTAGACTTTAAGTTTAAAAATGGTGCTTTAATAAGTAACATGTAAAGTAATGCTATTAGCCCATGTAAGCCCACATTTGCTTGATTAGGAACATTAGTTCTGATTTTAATTAGGCTATTTCCTGCTTTATAATATTCTTGATTAGAAAATTTGCATTTCTATTAGTTACTTTATTGAGATGTGTATATACTGATTATATATTTGTATATATAGTGTATCGGTATATTATTATATACTGATACATGTCACTTTGATATATGTATGTGTATAGATAGTGCCTATTAATTCAAATAGTGGATTCTAATTCTAATAAATTGGAGTATAACTTGTGGACAACGTGTCTATGTGAATACCCAGTGTCATTCTGTCTGCACAGAAGTTATTTCAGCCTGTCCAGTGGTGGAGCCAGAGGCCTCTGGTGCACAGATACTCTTCTGTCTGAAAAGCAGGCCCAGGAGAACATTTGCCTACACCCAATTCAGTCTTCCCATGCTTTTTTTGCAGACTGGGTGCCCTGTGTCTCGGTATCCTCATGAGTTTAAGCCTCTGCTCGCGTGGTTGTGCCGGGGAGCATCTCCTGCRTGCGACACTCGCAGCGAGGAGGGGATGCGGTGTTGGGGAGGGCACCACTAGGCAAGAAAGAAAAGACTCTTTGTGACTGGTGAGAAAACTGTTTACAGCAGCTGCCGAGCTTGGCCTCTGCTCCCATCCGCGTCGCTCTGAGGAAGGGGATGGGAAGCTGAGCCTTGCTTCAGGGCTCGGTTCGGTTTCAGGGCTGTTCAGTTTCTTCCTCCCAAGACTTGCTGCTTTCAAGGCCAGGCGAGCGGCACCTGCGGTGCCGAGACCTGCAGGGTGTCGTGTTGGGAGCTGGGAGTGCAGGAGGAGGCACTGAGCTCTTGCCCACGTCGTGGCAGCAGCCTGGGCCACAGCAGCAGGTGTCCTGGGAAGGCGGCCCCGCGTTGAGCTTGTGGCTTTTGTCCAAGCTACTTCTGCAGTAAATAAAAGCAGTGAATCCTACAACTTGCTTGGTATATTTATGTGGGTGTATATATATTTCAATATATAAATATAGAGTTTTGGGTATATTTTGTTTGCTGTCTTGGAGACTACCTGTTTTGCTGTGTCCAGTGGAATATTATCACTGCGGGCTGATAGGATGTTCCGTGAAATCTCTTGGTCTCAGTCCAAGACTTGCTGTCCTTACAGATGTTTTATGCAGCTGCTTCAGTATAATTGATTTTCCATGCCCAATCCCTTGGGAATGCCCAATCCCTTGGGAATGCCCAATCCCTTGGGAATGCCCGAGCCGGTCTCTTGCTGGCTGAGGGGAAGCCGCAGCCCAGCTCAGGTAGGGAGCGAGCGCCCGTGCTCAGGGCTGCAGTGTGACTTTCTCTTGTTGAGAACTGTGAGGAAAAACCTATTTTGGTCCATAAAACAGGCTGAGTTGCCATTGAGATAGGCAAAACCCCGTGAAACCTTGTAGCACCTGAAGGGGGGAAACAAACGAGGTATGGCTTCAAACACTTTGTTTYCAATGTCATGAGTGTAACGATTTTATTCTTCTGCTGTACTTTTCCTAAATCTTGCATGTTTTTACATTGCCTGGATAAAGTCTGCTTATGTTCTGATCGTGTATTAGGGGTTAGATACATGAGTGTAAAATAGGTGCAGCTCCAGCTCACTGTATRCTTGCCAGCTAGCATTATTTATCTGCACGGTATCTTGCCAAATAAGATGATATTGCTTCTCAAGCACTCTGCACTTGCCCTCTTGGAATAGCATTAAGTTTGAATTACACTTCTAAACTGGTACTTTTGTTTATTTAGCTCCAGAMTTGGTCTCCATTCTCCCGTGTTTGACTATCTGTTATTTTGAGTTGAGTGTTTTGCAGAGTGCTCAGCTCCTCGGTGCAGATGTGTTACTGCAATTTATTCATCCTTGCAATCTAAACACTGTTGTGCRTTGAGGTAGCTTTTAATCTTAGCCAAAGCAGAGCTCTGATTTAATCTTTTAATTTAAACAGGCCTGATGGAAGCAACCAGGTTAGGCTGAGCTGCATTGGATGCTCCTGGAGTCAGTTTATCCACTTTCCATTAGTGTTTAAGCTGCAGCAGGGTGGAATAAACTCAACTTCCTGGTGGTTCCTCATGCCTTTTAGTATGGGGAGAAGAAATGAAGCTGTAATGACCTTTTCCTGATGCCAGCATCTTTGTTGTCCACTTGGTAGYGGTGAGGAAAGCAGCACAGAGCTCCAGCCACGAGACCTCTGCGCTGAAGCGGTGCTGCATGGKCCCCCAGTTCAGCCTAGGGCTGTGGCCTAGGTGAGGAGGTGGAATTCTGTGCCTTTTTTTTTAAGTATTCCTGTGCAAAAAGGAAGTATATGTCCGCAGCAATAAACCTGATTCCTATGGACGCATCTGGTAAAAAATGGGCAAGTTTGTTAAAACGTGGGTATAAGGGAGTATTAGAGCAGGTGCCCGGGGCTTCCCTATGACTCCTAAGTGCTCTGGATGGTTAACACAGAATCCCCTCACTGCTAGGGCACAAGAGCCCAGAATAATTTTCCTTGTCCCAGTTAAGTCAAGGGCTATTAGAGCAGCAGTAGGAAGGTTTCRGCGAGAGGGAGAAAGAGGGTGAGGGAAGTGTCAGCCCTCACTCTTGCTGGCGAGGAGAAGTGGACTTGAAGAAGGAGCCCAGGAAAGGAGCAGAGGCAGCATTAGGGAGTGGGAGCCCAGGGTGGGGCTTGGTCRTGGGCAAGGTGCTGTGAGCTCCTCACTGCAACGCCCTGGGGTTGATTATTGGGAGCTTTGCCAAAGAAGGAAAGGGGAAAAAAAAGGAGTTTGCAGGCTCTTTTTCAGTGAAAATGATGTCTACAAGGCATGAAATGGAGTACTATGGAAGGTCAGGTGTTAGTGGAAACAGTTTGGGATAGCATGAGAAGAGTGAGAGCTCTGACYATTGGTGGCCTCCAGGTGCCAGAAGTTAAGTGAACGCACTGCCTGTTGGAAGTGGCCCCTTGCCGAGGGAATGGGTATTCCCTGCGCTGCACAAGGAACTTGTCATCATGGCTGGGGCTTCATGGGCCCTCCCAAGGTGGAGGAGAGAGAAGGGGGTGATGTTTCAGGGCAGGTGAAGAACAGGAGAGATGAAAAATGGCAGTGGAGATTTGCAAAAAGGCCATAGGATGCATTGGGGACAGGGGCTGAGAGGTTGGTGGTTTCTTTATTTTTAAGGAAAGTTTTCGTTTTAGGGACTAAAAAGAACTTATGTGTGGGGAAGAAGATTCCAAATTAGTGATGTAACCCATCTGAGCCTATTTGAAATGAGATTGGCACAACTGAAGGAAAAGAGAGGGAAAGGAGCCCCGGTGCCATCCCCAGGGCTCCGTGGCTTCCTTTCCTTTGCTGCTGCCACCTGAATTTCCCTCTGTGGCTCTGCAGCAGCCCCGTGTGCTGGGCCGGCACCCGCCGCCCTTGGGAGCTCTGCAGCACCCACCGTCCTCTCGGRTGCCGCTCGATAGCGGCTGCTCTCAGGTGAGGCTCTTCCCAGGACCTCGCTGGGCTGCCCGCGCTGTGAGATTGAGGCCACTTCTCTAGAGCTCCACTGATGTGCTTAGCTAGTGCTCGTGCTCCTGTGTTGTGTGTAACGAAGGGAATCGAGTAGGATGTTGCTGGTTTCTGCCTGCTGTTTCTGTAGCACTTTGTAGAAGGGCTCTCCGTGCTCCTCCTCTTTGAGTTTTACACCTGTGGTTTTCAGTTTGTGCCACGTAGAGGTCAAGACAGTCGCGTGCAGCTCAGCAGTGTGGGAACGGTGCTTGCTGCGAATCTCCTGGTTGGCACCAGGGAAGAGTTTGTGGGGCCCAAGGGTGCTCGGTGCAGTGTCTGCTCTGTGCTTTGACACAGCTCCTGTGATGCAGGTGATGACTTTGCCCTTGGGCTCCTCTCCCCTCCAGCCCTTCTGCTCTTTGGGTGTCCTGGGTGTTTTTTCCTTCACCACGGCTGATGGGGAGAAGCTGCTATGGAGAGCTGCAAATTGGAAGGTTTCACCCCAACTTAAGTGGCCTGGCTGGTTATTTGTGCCTTTCTCTACTGTAACAGGGCAGTGTAATTGGGTAGGATGGTTCTGGTCTGCAGCTTAGAGTCAGAATTGGGCACTGGCTGTGCCAGGGACTTCTGCAGTGACTGAGGGATGTTGCAAATGCTCAATCTTCCATGCAAAAGCGTGCTCTACTTCTTTGATTTACTTTGTTTTAGCTCAGAACAGTGCCGCATGGATATTGAAAAGCCCACGCTCCTAAAATAGGTCGCACGGGGCTGAGGTCTGTCCTTCAGGACAGCAGAGAAAAGGTGACCATGAGCAGATGGCAGCTATGAGTCACATCACTTAATATATCCCAAGAACTCGGGTATGAGGAGACCAAAGGTGCTGGAGGAACCTAGAAGAGATGTGTCCTCCTGATGAACCAGCCTGGATGTTAGAGCAGACCCAAGGCACCTGAGTGAGCGAGGTCTTGTAGCGGAATGAGCTGAATCCAGGTGAGCTTGAGCTGCTGCTTGGTCTTTTCCCATTGCAGCTCACTGCCAGCAGGCACCTTGCAGGGGCGTTCAGCTCATCCCCTGTATCTGCGTGTTGGCTTTGGACCAGGAGAGCCTCTGAGATGCTGCTGACTTGCCGGGAATGCGTCTTGTAAGCGAGAGGGGAAACAGGTCGAGCCGTTCACACGCCAGCCTGGGGATGAGTGGCTGGAAAGCGCAGCCCCAGCCTGTCTGATCTGACAGGAGGGATTTTCTGGGGTTGAAAATGCCTTTGCTTCACATTTTGGAGCATTTCTTCATGAAGGACGCTGCTTTTTTAGCTGCTCCTGTCACTTGTCCTACCCCAATGTCTGTGAAAGCCAACTCTGTGCAGGCCCCCGCGCGACAAGCACCGTTTCGATGGCACCTCCCGGCCTCGGCTTTTAGCTCCCTCCTAGCAGGCAGCAGATGTATCCCAGTGAGTAAATCCCTGCTCCCCGTGGACCCTGCGGATGCATCAGGGCTTCGTTTATTAACCCTGATACCTACACTGAGCCAGGACACGTTGAGAACGTGGCAGGGGCCGGGGCAGCAGGCAGTAAACCCCATTAAATGCCACTGCTGGTCAGTATTTGCTGTTAGGTGAGCGAGGCCGCAGCTGCTGGTGGCAGCTTCAACCAGGATAAATTAGTAATGAGGCCATCGCTCAGGGWGCTCCTTTTGTTTCCCCTGTTTCAAAGCTGCATCAGCCTTTGGCAATTCAGGAGTCTGGGGCAGAAATCAAAGGTCTTTCCTGCCCAACGATGGTCGAATTGTTGCAGCAACCTGTGTTTAGTGCATTAGCTGCTATGTTGAAGCTGCCCTAAAGTCTGCACAAATTTGCAAAGCTTCTTCTGGCCAAGGAGGACATTTCTGTCACCTGCACTGACTCCTGAGTCGTTTTCCAGCTCTGCCTTCTTTTTTTTTCCCAGTTTTGGGTTACTTTGGTGGCACTGAGGGTGTCTGAGGACCAGGCTTGCTCCCGCAGGGTCCAGCCTAGCAAGACGGAGAAAACCAGTTGGAAAACCTCCTCAGTGCTTTTGCTCTGCAAATATGTGGAGTTCGACCTTTGCTGATAAGCTGTTATCAGCCCCCGGCTACAATAACAAACCCTCCCRTCCTCTCCCGTTGGGAGAGGAGGCTGCTTGCCCGGGCAACGTGCGCCCATCCCGAGGGCAAAGTTTCCTCTCGGAAGGAATCGGAGCTCCGAAGCTGCTGGTGGTGCTGTCTTCCCTGTAAGTGTTTATTTTGCACCAAAACACTTGGAATTAGGTGGGATTGCAGGAAGGCAGAGCCCCGGCACAACGCTCCCGCCCTTGGATGCAGGAGATGAAAGCCGCACCCTGCAGCCGRCCTTGTCCCGGAGCAGGGAATTCCAAAGCAAATAATGCTCCGTGTGCTCCGTTCTTCAAGCAAAATACATCTGCGGGGAGAAAGGTTTGAATCCAGATGTTCCCGCTGGGATTTTGTTAGGAGGAGAAACACTAGGCTAAAAGAATTCCTTGGGTCCATGATGGCTAAATTAAATACAGGAAAGGAAAAATCATTCAGCAGTAGTTTTGTGACTCTGTGTCCAGGTGATTTTTATTTTATATTAAGCCCTCCAGGTTTTGTAGCCATCCAGTTCACACGAACAGTCTTTAGCGAGGGGGCAAGTGGGTTCGTGCGTTTTTTACAGTCCACATCCACGCAGCAGAGTGCTCTGTATTTGCTGCCTTAGGCTTGCTTAGGTGCATCCCATCTCACGTTGAACCTGGGAGGCAGCAGCTTAAAAGCCAGTGGGAGGCTATAAAAGACACCAGTAAATGCCAGTGTCTAAACTGATCTGCTGGTAAAAGCGCTTGGTCCCCCAAGGCTCTTCCCGTCCCAGGCAGTTCTCGTCCTGCTTACCGGCGAGGAGAAGATGCTTTAAACTCCATCCTGGAAGGCAGTATTTTACATGCAAAATTCAGGAATTTATTTGGGTGGTTTGTGCTCAGCCTTGGGCAGCTACAGGCTCATGGCTGTTAAGAGCAGCTCTCTGTTTTAGTGGGCTCTTTTCCATGTGTGGGAGTTACCTGTGTTTAAAAATGCTGAGAGATCAGCAAGGGGGTCTCCTTTTTAATCTTTTTTTGAATCTCTCAAGTCTGGGGTTTCATTTATCTTATGGAGGATTTTTTTTGGTCAAAGRAAATATACCTTGAGACTGCATACGTATGTATACATAAATATATCTGTAATAATGTATTTATATGCATTCCCTTCCAGTCTTAAACYAGACATAGGAATTGTAATTGCTGTTTTTCTGCATTTTCTTTGTTTGCTGACAACAAAGCAACTTCTGGGTTTATTTAACCCCAGAAATGGTAAGTAATKGCCAACACTTACATTTTTGGACAGCATCAGGTGGAAATCCAGCACGTGTCTCCCACTGTCGATGCTGGAGGGATGCGAGCAGATGGACGGATCCCCCACCTTTGCAGAGTGTCAGATGGGTGGGTTTTGAAGGCATATTCCACAGAAACTATTCATTTTTCCAAAACTTTATCCATTAACAGAATGCTTAACTTTGGAGTCAGCTTTGACTTGCGGGGAAAGACCTGATGCTCCCTCCTGCTTGCGCAAAAGATTAGGAACGTGCTGAGCTTGACTGGTGCTGGGAGAGGTCTGGGAAGTGGCTGAGCTGTGTGATGCTGCCAGTGTTTTGCAAGGCCACAGCCTTGCAAAAAAACCTTTAGAAAACCTTTTTGTTTTCTAAAGCTTCTTAATTTTTGTTACTTTTAAATATCCAGCTACCATTGGGATGTGCTGATGGGATGCCCTGGTAGTCACTTGTCCATACACTTCACCTCTGGTCCTTCCGASATTAGATTTTCTGCTGTTACATTTCAGGTGGATCCCAGAGACGTTTATTCAAATACATCTTTGTTTAAGAGGATTCTGACTTTTCTCACTGCTGCTCTTCCTAGAGAGAAGTCGCCAGTGCCGGACCGGCCGAAACGTTACTCGTGGTGCAGCTTCGGGGAGCAGCTTCATTTATGTCACTTGAAGAGGAGGCCGAGTGAGCCACGAGGACATGGGCGTTCAGCGCTGCTGGAAAAATGAGCAGGTACCAGCAGCAATTTCCCTATTAACTGTAGTAACTGGTTAGCTGGGAGGTGTGAAACCATCAAGCCCTCGTGCCTGTTGTCACCCTTCCCTTTAAAAGGTAGCGCTGAGGTAAGTTGACCTGCTGGTTTAGGTTGCAGCTGGTCCATGGCTAAACTGGCTGCTTTGCAGTAGCCAACTTACAAGTGCTAAAGAGATGTTTGCACCGAGTATGAGCTGAATTTAAGTGTTTGGATTTTTCAAATTTTAACTTGACGTCTGAAAGCACTTGATTCGGATTTATCGCCGCCRTGAGGGGACGACTGACATATTAGTTTTCCGTCGCTGTGAGTACTGTTGTGTTGTACTTGACTCTGGTACCAGGCTGCTTTTTGGAGAATATAAACTTCATCACAGGCCTCGAGGCTGTTTTGAACTGAGTGCAGSTAGCAGTGAAGCTCCAGCCAAAATGGGTGTTGTTTGAAATCTGAAATCAACTTCTGAAATTTTGCAGTTTACCCCATTCTAGGGTTAATAAGGGCTTGTTGAGGGCTGTGTGTCTTTAGTCACATGTTTGTTCTGCAGCATCCATTGATCTTTTATAAAATCCTGTGCAACTCCTGTGCCATGGGCTCGGTTTCGCGCGTTGCTGACGCTGGGATGGTGCTGGGTGCTGTYGGTGGTGCAGACTCCTGCACCTCTGGCATCCCACCTTGGGAGATTCCCTGGGGAGCAAGCGGCACCACGGAGCTCCCTGCAGTTCCAATGAAAAGGCACCACATAGAAGCCTGGAGCAAGGCAGAGGAGGCTGCGTGTCAGCCGTGCCCTGGTCTCTCTCCTTGCTCTATATAAAGTGGCCTAGTCCCAGGAAATCTGTACTTTCCATGTTGGAAAACCCTCATGTGTTGTCAGGAGGCTCCTTGAGCTCCTGCCTCGGGTGTCCCAGTCCTGTTCGCTCCCTGCAGTCTCATTCYCTGAGGAGTGACCAGCTGAGCCAGAACGGAGATCACTTGGGAAGCTCTGTGATGACAACAGAGGCCTCTTGGCTTCGTACATTGTCATTATTTGAGCTTTGAAATTCAGCCTGCTGGTCTTCCTGTTAAAAATGCTTCATTTCTAGCACAAGTGCGGTCCATGCTGTGCACCCCAGGGTAATTCTTTCTCCTGTGTTGTGTGAGGGGTTAGGCTCAGTGGCTCCTTTAGTCTTCAAACTAACATTTTTCTTGCTCTCTGCAAAGAAAATCTTGGAGCTGCTTTCACTTCTGAAATAAGTGGCAGAGGGTTCCTTTCTTTGCCTCTCCTCTCATCTCCCRATGGGTACGTGTGGGCTTGTGACACTTCTTATAATAGGTATTGCCTTTGGTGGCTTGTTACTTAATATATTTTGAGTATTACTGTTCCTACAAATAGGTTGTGAATTGAATGCATCATGCTTGCAGGTGTCTTAGTTTAATCATTTCTGTTTCCTGTTTTGAAAAATAAAATGGTAAAAATTGTACATCACAAAACAACGATTCACTGGTGTGTGTAAACACTCAGACTGAGTCAGATTGACTCAACATTTACTTTCAAAGTGGGAAATGCTTTATATTTGTGTGTATGGTTTTATAATTAGTGTCAAGAATGTACTTTTTCCCTTTGACTTCTAGTCATCTTCAGAACAATTTTTGAAAGCCTGTACAGCTAATTTCTGAGAAGTTGCATTGGTAAAGTCTTTTCTCTGTATTTTATATTTGTAAAAGGAAGGTTATGTATTTGATAATCTGCATTACACGTATATATCTGTGCAAAGCACTGTGAAAAGGAGTATATTGCCTTGTTCTGTGGTTTTCTAGACATGAGGTTTAGAGGAATATTTTCTTGAAAGACTYCTTCTGTTTTGTTTTATGTGGATAAACCAGCTGAAAAATCACTCACCTATGTCTCCCTAGTTGTAAAATTACCTAAACTATTTTCTTCAGGTAGTAAACGGGTACATGTGGAATGTGAGAAAACGTTTAGTTGCAAGGAGACTGAGAATGATTTTGTCCTTTTTCTTTAGGTTTGTATGATCTTTCATGCAGAGAAGGCTGTGAAGAGCCTATCTGGGGAGGAATCCTGGTTTTGGGATTGCAGGAAGGCAAGAGATGCAGATACGTCTCGGGGTTGGATACATCTTAATATCTGCACAGTGAGGAGTGCCTGGGAGCCTTAGCAGTCATATTTTGAAAGTCTAGGCAGCTTCCACATTATGGAGGGTAATTTAAGGTGCAGTATTTTGCTGAAGAATTAAATCCTCCTTTGATTAGAACCTGGTATCGTCTCGAAAGCAATTAGTTGCATGAGCTGCCCTGCCCTTGCTTCATTGATGACAGTTCATCAGCTGCTTCATCARCTTTGCGTCTCCTTTCTGTTTCCCTCATCTTTTTGCATCAGTTTGCAGACAGGGCTCTCTGGGATGCTCTATACGTGGTGAATCTTGTAGTAGAAGTGGCTTTAGGACACAGAAGCTTGTAAGGGGGCTTATGAACTTCTGCAGATCGCCCGTCATTTGGGGATCAGGTGAATCAGGCAAGCTTCCCACTGCATAATCTGTCCTTATCTTTTTTTATTTTTCCCTCCTATGTTGTATTATGTTTTTATGAAGAACATGTGTGCACTCTCTGCAAGCTTTGCATGGAAACTAGGTGGGCAATGGGAGTTGGAGCACGCTCATATCCCGGAGCTTGAAGGGAGTGATGGCACCTCTGTTTGCACGTGGCTCTCATTCCTCCTCTCAGTGAGGACTTGTATTTACCAACAAAGTGCTCATTCTCTCTGGCTGGGCAAAATCCCATGCAATCCACATCAGGTGGCTGGGTTTAGGTGGAACATTAGGACGTTGACCAACTCTCCAGCACCCCTTTGGTGAATGTCACCTAATTTCTGGCTGCTCTTTGAGGATGGCTCCATGATATTGCAGTTGTCCAGCGGAGTGCTCGAACAAGAAGCAGGATCACTGCTGCTAATGAGCTTAGCACTCTTAATCTGAATATTTTGAACCAAAATTCCATTAAGCATCATGACTGCGACCGTTTAAAGYGTTGTCATAACTCTTCATTAAATGAGTAGCTCCGTGTCGTGGTTCCTTAGACAACTYGGGAGGATTGAGCCCTTGGACCTGCATTTAGCAGCGAAGGAAAAGAAGAAATGTCTGGAGGGGAAAGAGAATCAAATAGAAGCACTGAGCTCCACAGGGGAAACGATACCTTTGTGAGTGGCATTAGACATAGCAGAGCCTGAGATGAAAATACTGGGTTGGGTTTAGTTTTCTTAAGAATATTTCCATAGGGCTGATCCATAAGAAACTATCGCGATACTGCAGAGAACTGTTAAGATACTAAAAATAGTGCCTTATTGTAACAGTTTCTGATTACTAAATACTTAAATTCTCAGTGGACTTTTCTTCTTGTAGCTCTAGCTAGAAGTCTGATTTATATTCCTCAAAGAGGTTGTAGAGCAGCAGCAGCAAGATTTGATCAAGAGAGACCTTATACTGTAAAAGATAAGATTTAAAAAGATCTGGTCTTACTGTAAGTTCTCACTTCTTCAGTATCTTCATAGGAGAATAAAAAAAAGCTGAAATGTTCCGAAACATCATGTTGACCCTCTGCCTCCAAGCATCACTGCTATGGCTAGAAGATTTCTGGGGCAGTTTTTTCTTCTCTACTCTGTTATATGAGACAACACAACTTTTTTTCAACTAGTGCTTTGCAGTATTTATCTTTTAGAAGATTTCTTCTTACATTCCTCTTGATGCAGTTTCAGTCTATTACTTGTGTCCACCATGGATGTGGAGGATGGTTTTTCTTTGCAGAAGCTCTTTCTAAGGACCCTTATCAGGTCTCCTCTCAGTGTTATCTTTTCTTTTACTTTCTTTTTCTATCCTCCACCTTTACTTTCTCAGAATGAGAAGGACCAACCTCTCTTCATTCACTCTTTCCCAGTGGCTCTTACTAACATCTTTCTTCACRTGCTACACTCCAAACCCTGGACTTGCAAGTCCAGCTTAAGCCTTAGTGTCACTAAGCAGACCAGGGGGGTTAATTCCTACTTGTTCCTACTTGTTCTCCCATCTACAGGTTAACAATTTCCTATCTGGGAAGAGTCTAGTTGAAAAGCTGGAGATCACTGAGATCTTCTGGAGCTCTAAAGTAGGACCTTTTCCTTCCTGTCACCCACCAGGAAGATGAGGGTATTTGCAAGAGGGCTGTTTGTCTGTGGGCTTGGAAATTGAACCAAAGACTACAAATTTTAGAACTTAAGAGGCTGTTTAGCCTTTTGCACCTCTCCGTGTGCCCTGTGGTTTTATAAACAGCCTCATGGACACAGTCATAAAATTACCATTTCAGGCACTTTAGTTCTTGTTGAATTTTCAACTTTCTAGGGCAGAATCCACCACAGAAGTGGCCAGCGTTTGCTTTGTTATCATGCACTTCACTGGCCAAGGTGCTGGGATGAAGGGTCCCTCTGCAGCRAGACCAAAATCCCAATATTTTCAGTCAAAGTTTGTATTAGGATTTTGGCCCAAGAAGAGTGTCAAAGCACAGGCCTTTGACAGCCAAATTGCTTCCTGAATATTGACATATTGTTCCATGTCAATGACATTGTTCAATGTTGCTATCCTTGATCTCCTGCAGTTTCGGTAGTTTTCCAATGTATTAAAATTCCAGGTCACTGAGTTGAAGTTGTTAGAAGATTATTTTAGGCCTGGGCTCAAGTTAATAGTAGATGCTAGCTAGAAATGCTGCGCCTAACAGATCCGGGATAACCTTCTTATTAGCTAATTGGCTTCAAAGYACTTAATTATCCTCTGTCTTTCAAATATGGGGAAAAGATATTTGTTGCCTCCTCCTATGCTTCCTTTTGTGCCGTGATTTTTGCCTGCTGTGTCCTCTAATGGTCTAGTTCCTTGGTTAGAGCGTGTGTTGCTCTTGCGTCCTCTTAGAAACTGCCATTAATTTTAAGCTAATGGTTACTTTTTGTTTTCATAGTGAGTTCGGG